ATTTCACCAGACACAGACACACACCTGCAGTTTCTGTTTATAACTTTTTTATTGAAAGAAACTGATTTTGCTATTTTTTGTTACCTTTTGTGATTTTCCACTTGATTTTTTTATTTTGGTCCATCTGATGATGTCATTTTTAAGTATTAAATGATTGATAATTTGATCAGTTACTCAGTTCTTGAGTAGACTTTTTACCAGATACTATTTTACTCATTTTTTGGTCGCCTACTTTTTAATTTTACTTAAGTAATTTTATTATGAAATATTTCAACTCTTACTTGAGAAAATGTCTGGATTTTCTACCAACTGGATGAAAAACAAATGTTTTTTAATCAAAGATTCACCAGACACAGACTCACACCTGCAGTTTCTGATTAAGTTTATAAGTTTTTTATTGGGGAAAAAAAAACCTCACTTTTTGTGATTTTCCACTTGATTTTTTTACTTTGGTCCATCTGATGATATAATTTTTAAATATTAAATGATTGATAATTTGATCACTTACTCAGTACTTGACTGTTTAGTAAATACTTTTTTACTCTTACTTGGGTAATTTCTTGGATGGAAACTTTTTACTTGAGTAAAAGCCCATTGGAGTAGTTCTACTCTTCCTAAAGTGCGGTTTCTGGGTACTCTGCCCAGCTCTGTAATAGTCGCAGCGTTCCTCGGGGACGCGTCGCAGGCCAGGCTGCGCTGTGCTGCGGCGGCTTCAACACATGGCCTGCAGCCCTGCATTTTTTCAGAGTGACTGAATTAGCTGATCCAGACAATACGCCGAGCATATCCTGCCGGTTTTATAGTGCAGATGGTTCATGATACATTCGCAATTAGCAGGTAATTTACAAGGTGCAAACTGGTGTGTTGGTGTCACATTTGGCATGCAGCTTAGTTTGAAAAACAGAGTGTGGTCAACAATAAAACTCTGCCACAAAAAATGCAAAAAATTAGTTGAAAATGTTGCTTAAAGGAAACAGTTGCTTTATTTCTTCTTCACTGTGAAACGAGCTTCTGTTGCACAAGATTCTGATTCTTCCCCGCACTTTCATTTTGTTTTATCATCCTAATTTAATTCAGTTATATTAAAACCTTTACATAAAACATGATCTAAATTTCCATTGCTTTAAAATTCCTTTCATGAGATGAATTTCTTCTTGTAGTAGCGCCCCCTAGTGTGTAGACTGCACCGAGACTCATGAATGACTTTCAGTTTTATCTCCCAAAGGAAAAGGTACAACTTTAACTGGTACAGTTTACAATAAAGCTCTCATAATAGATGGCTAATAAGTAGTTCATATGTTATTAATTAATCTATAAACACTTTATAAATCATTATAACAGTTTATTATGTGTTAATTAAGGATAAGAAGAGAAACAGATTTTATCTGGAGTTGTTATGCTAAACATTTCAGACTACATTGTAAGCACAATAAGCATTTGTAAATGTGATTTGTTAGCATTTAGTCTCCTTATCATTAATAACTGCATAATAGACAGTTATTAATGATTTATAAAGTGTTTACAGATTATAAACTTAACTATTTATTAGCCATCCATAAGGTTGGCCATATTGTAAAGTGATTTTTGGAATAAAAAAATTACATTTACATTTTTTAACCCAAATTTAAAACTGTAGGTTGTTTAATTAATGTATTTTTGTTTAAATATATTTTTTAAACTTAGATCATCTTTCTGCAAAAAATTACGTAGGTCATTATTTTAGAAAGGTGACGATATTGTATAAAAAATGAAGCATGGATTCAGATGCGTTCAGAAAATTTTAATTGGAAAGTTTATTAAAGAAGTGCATAATTTTGTTGTAATTGTGCAAACTGATTTTGAGACAGAAGTAGCGAAATGGACTTTAATTTTAGATTACAGGGCAGCAGATTAGATCTACTATTCTGTTGCCTGTATGAGTAACATATTTAAAAATGGATACAGAAAATCCAAACTCCTGATACTGAGAAGCTCTAAAGTCATGCTAATGACTGCTAACTTTGCCCTAAAATTAAGGATTTTTTATTTTTCATCCAGTTGGAAGAAACCATCATCAAATGTTTGAATAAGGTCAGAAACTGAAAGGCATTTCTCTTAATATAATTATCAAAAATGAATAAAGCAGAGAGTTTTGAATGAATGATATTAATGAGAGAAAAGTTGTTTGAAAGAGTTGGTGCATGTTATGTTTAAAGTTTTTTATTCTTCAAAAATTGTGGCACTTTTGTCTTTCCATAAGCCTACAATTTGCTCTAGACTTTTTATTTCTGCTGAATGAAAACGAGCAGCTTCCCGTGCCTTTTGTTAAAAGCTGTTATTGCATTGCTGCGGTGTGGAGTGCTTTAAATCGTATGTTTACTGCATCACTTAACAGAAAGACATAAAAATGCATGTGTGGATAGATACTTCTCTGACTGCTGGGGATTTTCTTTGAATAAAGTAAACTTCAACTATTTACAGTCCATCGTTAAAACTTAGTTTGTCAACCAACCTTTTAAAAGGACACCAATATGCAGATTTTCTGGAATATCTACTAAATCTAAGTCACTCTATCTGTAATAAAATGGAGATGCATTACTAGAAAAAGTGTTTTCCTTGTTCTCTGAGTTGTGCAGGATTATAAAAGTTTTATTATCCCTGAAGGAATCAGGCAAAAAGCTGCAGATTGTTTATGACTTATAATCTACTATAAATTGTGGTGCCTGGGTTAAAATGTGAATCCAATCAATTTGTGCTTTTATCTCTTTGTGATGCTTCAGTCAGCTGTGCTGAGAGCCAGATTATCCAACCTGATCCCCACTGGATCCATTCACATCCAACAGAACCAGAACTTTCCGATCATGGTTCCACTGAAGCCCAAGATGTTTGATTTAAATCCCACATAGAAATAATCTCAGCAGATTTACTGTGTTCATGTTGGATTTCCTTACTCACGTATACGGATGTTGACACTTTTAATCTGTTCTGCACCGAACCCAAACCTCATAAAATGATAAAATGAAATTGCGACCTTGTTTGATTCATTCATTACCAGTGGTATTGGTATGTTCTTGCTGAATACTGAGATCTTCTGCAATTCTTTCTCCAAGCAACATAAAAATAAACACTTTCATACCGACTGATTTGGCTCATTTCCTCCTGCACCGTTTCAAATGGGAGGGATGTGCCACGATTTGGACATATAAATGGAGCTTTAAAACATTTATTCAAACTCGGATGTATCTGATTAGGATTTTTGGTGATAATCCAAGACAAAACAGTATCGCAGTGAAGTAAATCAGTTTTTTATTTCCTTCAGAATATTTCTAGTTAATAAATACTACTACCTACTTTGTGTAATTTACTCTATCATTAAAAATGCACATTTTGTGTCCATATACATGAAATAAAATCCCATAACCTGCCATACAGGGAGTTTTGCAGTTGTGACGTATCAGAATGTGATTTTTATTTGCTAAAATAATGTACGTCTTTTCCCAACAACCCTAACATTTTGACAGTTCCTGCTCATCCATCCTCCCTCTGCAGCATTACCTCAGCTGCCACTCCTCGTCTGTTTCCTGTGGGGTTTTTCTCATGAGGTTCACATCAAGTCAAACTTTTCAGCAGCTGAATCAAGTTTATCCAGATGTTCTTGCACAATGAAAGCGGTTATTGTCGTTTTTAATTAGTCCCACTGGAGGCTTCTTCGAAAAACAAAGTGTTTTCTTTCATGCTACATAAACTTTTCCACAGATTCATTGTTTTATCCTATCGAATGAAAAAATATAAATTACAAGGATATTGTTATGCATGTATCTCATTTTCAGTTTGATGTCTGAGAAGGCAATTTTTTGCTACCTGCTTTAATCACGTGAAGAAGAAGCTTCTTTAAAGCCTTTAGTTTATCTACTGAAAACATTAAGGCATAAATGTTTCTACAGTGAATCTGAGTTTTGTAGAAGAAATTTTTAGAGGAGTTTTAAAAATGTATTTGCTGAAAAAGGGAGAAAATTATAATGTGAACATGCCATGTTTTGCCAAAAAGCTGCTTTACATCTCAGCAGGTCAGAAACAAACAACGAATCTCAGTGCTGCTACTTTTTAAGACGTTCCTCTGATAATATTTACATCATATCCCTGGAAAATGTTATTTCACCGTATTATGTTCCCGTTAAGTGTGCTAAATGCTTTGGTTGGAGAACAACCAGTGAACCTGTTACCTGGCTGTCCTTTAGCCGTCTTCTTCACGGCTAACATCTGAGGAGTTACACCGAGTTCCCTCTCCTGCAGTTTGGCTAGAGAGAGCATCACCTCATCAGGAGTCACAGTGGAAAACAGCTAAAAGTTAACAAGCCGTGAAACACAGATACCGACTCAAACCGTTAGCCAACCAGTTAACAGGCCACTGGTGCTCATTATTTCTCTGCTGCATGCCAATGGTCATATCTTCACCCTGAGCTTCTCTCTGTTTGAATTTCATAACTTCTAATGATAAAATACAGCTAACAGATATCTGGCGCCATATTTAGTTATTTAGCCTGCCATAACAGAAAAGCCCACCAGGTTGTTCATTCATTTATAAATGTTGCATTTTAAGCTAAATTAATTAGCAAGCTAAATATTTAGCTTGAAGATTAATATTTAGTTTGATAACTAAATATTTACTTTCAAGCTAAATGTTTAATGAGCAACCTAAAAATGTCATTTGAGGCAAAATATTTAGCTTCAAATTACTATTTAGTTACCATCTGAATATTAATCGAATTGAGCATTGTTAATACTGCTTGTAAAGGTTGAGAGATTAGGGTTTAATTCAATGTTACTTCGGAACATTAACTCATTTTAGCACAAGAAACTCATTTAAAAGTTAAATTAGCAACTTTACTGTAAATATATCCTACTCAGTTTGAAAGATTTTGACCTGAAACTTTGAAAGTTTTCATAAAAATAAAACAACACAGAATGCACCATAAAACCGGAGGCATGCTGACGGCGTGTTGTGTCCGTGCTGGCTGCAGGGTGACGGTGCAGCGGAGCCAGGAGGATGCAGAGGAGGTGGAGCGGGAGCGGCGGAGGAGAGCCAGGGAGAAGCAGAAAGAAGAAGGGACCCTGTCCTTCCCAGAGGCCCGGCAGCAGGACGGCACGCACAGCACAGAGTGAGTTCAGCAGCGCAGAGCAAGTCCAGCAGCGCAGAGCGAGTCCAGCAGCGCAGAGCGAGACCAGCAGCGCAGAGCGATTCCAGCAGCGCAGAGCGAGACCAGCGCAGAGGATTCAGGGCTTCAGTCCTCCAGTTGTGACAGATAAAAACAGCATTTCAGAAACGAGATGAAAAACATATTTTTATTTTACAGAACATATTAAACACTTTGATCCAGAAGCTGAGGAGACTTTTTACCAGTGGTTTTCCCAAAATAAATAGTTAATTTCTTGATGGTTTTCTTGAGATAACAAGTTAATGTCCCGATTTCCACTTGAGTAGATTGGTGTGTGTTCAACCTCTCTCCATCCATGATAACTCGTTATAACGAGAAAAGCACATTATCTTGAGAAAACATGAGCACAAAATGATTAATTTGATTCCGAAATTAATTGTTGGTATTTATTCTACTAGTTGTAACTTCAACCTTTAGACTTATCAATGTTTTAAGTGTTTTCACTTTGAGTTTTGAGAAAACTTTCAGTTTGTTTGCATGTGTATCATTTCTTATTTGTTTTCTGTGCTGCTCGTTTCATTCCTCTGCCTTGTTGTTCTTTTGTAGCTTTGCAGGTTTTGAGCCGTCTGCCGCTGGACATTTCGTACCAACCATGCATCAAATCGCTCCGCCTAGAAGATGTTTTGCTCCTACTGTGACTGCTGATCCTGTAAAGTAATTTTCTTTGATCCATTTGTTATAACATATACTCCAATAAGTACAACCTACCAGCAGGAGGCAGCGTTGAGTAATTTAATCTTATTTGTCAAGAGTTAGCAGAAGCAGAAAGATCAGAATCAAAGGACTGGGTGGAATTGAACATTTTCTGGAAATAATACACCTAAAATGTTTACATTTTTCATGACTATTTATCCAGATATTAAAAAAAATATGTACAAAAAAAATCAAAAATGAACTGGTAAACAATGGCTGTAGTTTATGGGTATGAATTGGTTTGTTTACATGTGCAAATTGTTGCACTTTTTACTTTAAAAAGACATCTGGTCCACTTTCAGATGAACAAAACATGCCTCTATAGATCCCATCTACTTGATTTGAACAAATCACCAAACACATATTACTGTCACTATCTCCAAGGATCCGTCTGATAACGTGAGCTGAGCTGAAACTGGAGACCGTTTTGCCTCTCTGTTTGATATTTCCATGGTTACCGTCCCTGTTGACATGGAGCTTGATGGCACAAGCCCCGTCTACCATCTGCATCTTCTTTGTGTGACATTAGGAAGCCTTGGATGCTTGATTAGGAAACTAAGCAGCAGCAGGAGCAAGTAAACACTCACACTGTAAATCACTTTCATTATTTGTCCAGCTTTAACATCCACGTCACCCTGCTCTCCGGAAAGAGTTTTTCCATCGAAAATCACCAAACAAGACAACCAATCCAGACAGGATCAAAATTCAGTTACTAAAACAAAACGGTGTGTATCCGAGTTTCCTTAATATTTTTTGTGACGAATCGCATTAGAAAAGGTTGAAGGAAATGGAAAAATTTGAATAAAAAATAAAGTAAAAAAAATTTTCTCAAAATAGTTACATTTTCTTGGTGTTTTTTTTTTTTTTTTTTGCTTTTCTGAAAAAGAACAAATTCGCTAAAGACATTTGCTGAATAAGAATAAGGACAGCATGTAGCTTCGCTTTGCTAGTTAGCATGACAGACCATCTACAACTTCACATTACTGAAAACTTCTCTGTTGTTCTGAAATGTTTGGTTCATGCTGGTTGGAAACTTCTACTTCCTTTTCATTACGTCCATGTGTAGCATCAACATTGGACTGAACTGAACTTTCCCTAGCTTAGTTGATTCTCTCCAAATCATTAGATAGTAGAAAAAACTAGTAGAAAAAAAGGTTTGCTCACAATTTGCATGACAATTGGATGTAAACATAGCTAATGGCAGTTTATGGTGCTTTTACACCAGTTCTGCTTGGTCCGTTTTAATAGAAGTCCAGTTCATTTGGGGGAGGTGTGAATGCTAATGGACAGTTCGGTTGAAGTGAACTCTGGTGCGGTTTCAATTTATATGTGAACACCAAGCGCAGCAGCCACTGCTCCAAAAGCAGGAAGGGGACTACAGCGCAGGGCATTCTGGGTAAATAAAACCAAAACAAATGTGCTAGCCTAGCGCTAGAAGGAGAAATGGCTTTTCACCAAAGACAAAAGAAAAACCCTAAAAACATAAAAATCTGACAATACTCCATTTTGTTTACATTCTGTAAAGTCGGAAGTTGCTTTCAGCGTCTTCCTCAGAGGATTTCATGTCGTTCTGTCCAGTGATTCTTGGTGCAGCGCCCCCACAGGTGAGGAGGAGAACAGATTGCTTAAAGGGTTTGGATCGTTTGACACAGCACAGTTTGAAAGAGATGTGAGAAAAAAATGCAAAAACAAAACGAAGGAAATCAAAAGCGTATATTATAAAACCGCAGAGGCTTGCAGGTAGTAGTGCATGCAGCTTTCTGTAGTTTCCTGGTCTTTCCTGGAGGTGAAACAGAACCTCCATGTCCTAAACATTTCTGGTCTGTTTTCAGGTCCGAAGAGGAGCTGAAACCTTCCCGCTTTGCTCTGGAAGAAGACGAAGGTTTCAGTGACTGGAGTCACCGGTTGGAGAACCGTCATGAGACGGAGGAGCAGGAAAACTGCAGGGCGAAGGAGCACAAACCATCTGCAGCATCAGAGTCTGGGGGGTACAAGCATGAGGATGAGGAGGAGGGAAGAGGAGAAGATGGAGGAAGGAGCTCTCAGGAAGATTCAACACGACTTTCAGAGAAGGTTTGTTCTCTGTAGAGTTTGTTTCACGGAGTAATCCACTTATAGAAACAAGTAAAAAGTATTTCAGAGAATAAATGCTGCTGAGCAGAACAGGGGCGTCACTAGGTTTTAAGGACAAGGGGGACTTTGACCCGAGGAGGATGTGAGCAAACACAGCGGGCGAATACAAACGGAGAAGTTGCTTTTCCACTTTAAAAATAAAGTTCAGGGTAATAAAAATCTCTTCTACTACAAAATATGAATGTGAACTGTTAATCTCTAAACGGTTTTAAACCAAACGTTGCTGAAATAATTAGCAAACTTTCATGCTTTTATCATCTTCAATCTAATTTTAGCCATATTTTACACCAATCATCTACTATTATACTATGAAGCAAAGGGAATCTGACAGATTTATGATCACATTTGAGTTAAAAATGATAGTTTGAATGATTATTTATTTAAACTCATGTTGGGGAAAAAAGTTTTGTACAAAAAAATCATTCAGGCTTCAGTTTCTCCATAATAGGACTACTGACACCACTGATACACAACTAATAAAGTTCCTCTCTGCCAGGCTTTCTGTTTCTGTCAGGTTAAATGTAATGTTTGTTTAGCCGCTAACTACAGAAGAAGATGTTCCTTCGTTTCTCCTGTGGCGTTTTGCAGACATCCAGCTCCCAAACTCCCGTCAGGACGTCGTACAGCTCCTCTGTCTTCCTGTCGCAGGACGCCAGGCAGCATCACGCCGCAGGACATCCTGCAGACCGGACGTCGTACCTGGCAGCAGGGACGATAAGGACCAGGTGAAGCCCACAGCGCCCCCTGGTGCAGGGGTTCCCAAACCGTCACAATGCTACAACATATGTAAACAAACATCAGCTGTTAGAATGTTTCTTATTCACTGTTCAATAATTATTACATTTATTTAGCATAAATGCTGCATCATAGCTTCTGATTTTAGGAAAATGTGATTATTAGATAATATATTCTGACTTTATTACCAGATAAAACAACTTTTCCCACTCCATGTCCAAGAGTCACTTTATGTTTATAAAGCTTCACTTTATTTTTATCATAATCCTTAACAGCAGCTCGTTGACGTAAGCGACTCTCTGATGGACTCTGCTGCTAAAATGAGTTAAAACGATGTAGAAAGATAAAAACACATGTGATGATTTCTAAAATTAACATGAATTAAACTTCTGCTGAAACAATTAATCAGATTAATTGTGATTAATTGATTATTGAAATTATCGTCAACTGATTTAGTAATTGATTAATTATTAACTGGATAATACAGACCCAAAAAAGGTTGTTTGCATAAAGAACAACAGAGAGCAGATATTTAGCCAAAACTGGCCAAATATACACATTTACACACATTTTGCATTTAAAATAAAATAAAAACCTTCATCTGTAAATCTGCTCCACCCAAAACTCCTGTGAATCCTATGAAGCACCTTTTGATATCCAATTATTACTCAGTTAATCCAAAACATACAATCAACAGATCAACCCTTCACTGTACTGTTGAGTTGAGCTTTTCATATGTTGACGTTAAAAATATCCTTTGCTACAAATGATTAAGCGTCCACTAAAGGAATGCTGGGTTGTTGCATTTCAGGCAGTAAAATGTTCCTTTTTTTCATACTTCAAAAAGGAATTGAATTATTTGTTTATTTGCTTATTTTCATGTGATTCTAATACATAAAAATATGCAGAATATGCCAAATTTTTTAATCTAATTAATCAGGATAATCAATTGCTAAAATAATCGTTAGTTTCAGCCTTAAATTACAGAACAAAGTACCACAACTCCATTGAAGTGAGGTAGAATTGAGAAGCCAACAAATCCTTTCTGAAGCACTTGTGATATTTTATTAAAATATTTTTGCTTCTATCCCAGAAACGTCGACCACAGTGGAGGAGCTCACCGGCTGGAAGTGGATGAGGAGCAGAAGACGCAGCAGGAAGAGGAGGATGATGAACAAGAGGTGAAAACAATCCTGCAGATGCAGCAACAGACTTCAGCTGATGAAGAAGCTCAGGAGGAGGAAGAAGAGCGAAGCTCCACAGGTGAAAACTGGAGAGAAATCCAGATCAGGAAGCAGCAGACACACAGGCCAGCGGAGGAGGAAGACGAGGAATATCACGAAATAAAAGAAGAGGTTCGCAAAAACTGCTGCTGAATTAATCCTGCTATTTCCTATTTTCTCATGTAACATGTTCCACTGTTAATGTTACCATTGGAACTAGAACTGTTTCATCAATTTTAAGGAATTATTGACTTAAAACAAGCTCCTGTTTCTTACTGAAAAGTCACTTTTAAGTTATTTTTGTATTATTTCAAGATATTTACACAAGAAACTAGACCAAAACTACTTGGATATAGTTTGTCTTTTTGCAGTGCAGATAAGAAATGTGGGTTTGACTCTGTTAGTTGGATGAAACATTTCCAGAGTCCCTTCTTCTCTGTCTTTAGTTTCATAAAGGACTCAAACACATGTGGACCTTTCCTAATAAGCTACAGTCTGACTTCAAGGTTGAAAGCAATAAAATCAGAAGAATGTTGCTTTGGCTCGCACAGAGCTGAAATGAAATGTTACCTGACGAAAGCAGCGATGATGTCAGTTCCCAGACCAAATTCCAGTTTTTACCAGCAGCTTGTTTCCTGTTAGTCATTAGTCTTCTGCCCAACAACGCAGTAAACAAAAGCCATGCAGAAACGTTCAGATGGTTTAATCTGGTTTCAAATAATCACAGGTGAAATCCTCTCGGCATGAAAAACTCCTCAAGAGCAGCTTTCTGTTTCAGCGATCAGAGGAGAGTGAGAGACGACGGGANAATGGCTTTTCACCAAAGACAAAAGAAAAACCCTAAAAACATAAAAATCTGACAATACTCCATTTTGTTTACATTCTGTAAAGTCGGAAGTTGCTTTCAGCGTCTTCCTCAGAGGATTTCATGTCGTTCTGTCCAGTGATTCTTGGTGCAGCGCCCCCACAGGTGAGGAGGAGAACAGATTGCTTAAAGGGTTTGGATCGTTTGACACAGCACAGTTTGAAAGAGATGTGAGAAAAAAATGCAAAAACAAAACGAAGGAAATCAAAAGCGTATATTATAAAACCGCAGAGGCTTGCAGGTAGTAGTGCATGCAGCTTTCTGTAGTTTCCTGGTCTTTCCTGGAGGTGAAACAGAACCTCCATGTCCTAAACATTTCTGGTCTGTTTTCAGGTCCGAAGAGGAGCTGAAACCTTCCCGCTTTGCTCTGGAAGAAGACGAAGGTTTCAGTGACTGGAGTCACCGGTTGGAGAACCGTCATGAGACGGAGGAGCAGGAAAACTGCAGGGCGAAGGAGCACAAACCATCTGCAGCATCAGAGTCTGGGGGGTACAAGCATGAGGATGAGGAGGAGGGAAGAGGAGAAGATGGAGGAAGGAGCTCTCAGGAAGATTCAACACGACTTTCAGAGAAGGTTTGTTCTCTGTAGAGTTTGTTTCACGGAGTAATCCACTTATAGAAACAAGTAAAAAGTATTTCAGAGAATAAATGCTGCTGAGCAGAACAGGGGCGTCACTAGGTTTTAAGGACAAGGGGGACTTTGACCCGAGGAGGATGTGAGCAAACACAGCGGGCGAATACAAACGGAGAAGTTGCTTTTCCACTTTAAAAATAAAGTTCAGGGTAATAAAAATCTCTTCTACTACAAAATATGAATGTGAACTGTTAATCTCTAAACGGTTTTAAACCAAACGTTGCTGAAATAATTAGCAAACTTTCATGCTTTTATCATCTTCAATCTAATTTTAGCCATATTTTACACCAATCATCTACTATTATACTATGAAGCAAAGGGAATCTGACAGATTTATGATCACATTTGAGTTAAAAATGATAGTTTGAATGATTATTTATTTAAACTCATGTTGGGGAAAAAAGTTTTGTACAAAAAAATCATTCAGGCTTCAGTTTCTCCATAATAGGACTACTGACACCACTGATACACAACTAATAAAGTTCCTCTCTGCCAGGCTTTCTGTTTCTGTCAGGTTAAATGTAATGTTTGTTTAGCCGCTAACTACAGAAGAAGATGTTCCTTCGTTTCTCCTGTGGCGTTTTGCAGACATCCAGCTCCCAAACTCCCGTCAGGACGTCGTACAGCTCCTCTGTCTTCCTGTCGCAGGACGCCAGGCAGCATCACGCCGCAGGACATCCTGCAGACCGGACGTCGTACCTGGCAGCAGGGACGATAAGGACCAGGTGAAGCCCACAGCGCCCCCTGGTGCAGGGGTTCCCAAACCGTCACAATGCTACAACATATGTAAACAAACATCAGCTGTTAGAATGTTTCTTATTCACTGTTCAATAATTATTACATTTATTTAGCATAAATGCTGCATCATAGCTTCTGATTTTAGGAAAATGTGATTATTAGATAATATATTCTGACTTTATTACCAGATAAAACAACTTTTCCCACTCCATGTCCAAGAGTCACTTTATGTTTATAAAGCTTCACTTTATTTTTATCATAATCCTTAACAGCAGCTCGTTGACGTAAGCGACTCTCTGATGGACTCTGCTGCTAAAATGAGTTAAAACGATGTAGAAAGATAAAAACACATGTGATGATTTCTAAAATTAACATGAATTAAACTTCTGCTGAAACAATTAATCAGATTAATTGTGATTAATTGATTATTGAAATTATCGTCAACTGATTTAGTAATTGATTAATTATTAACTGGATAATACAGACCCAAAAAAGGTTGTTTGCATAAAGAACAACAGAGAGCAGATATTTAGCCAAAACTGGCCAAATATACACATTTACACACATTTTGCATTTAAAATAAAATAAAAACCTTCATCTGTAAATCTGCTCCACCCAAAACTCCTGTGAATCCTATGAAGCACCTTTTGATATCCAATTATTACTCAGTTAATCCAAAACATACAATCAACAGATCAACCCTTCACTGTACTGTTGAGTTGAGCTTTTCATATGTTGACGTTAAAAATATCCTTTGCTACAAATGATTAAGCGTCCACTAAAGGAATGCTGGGTTGTTGCATTTCAGGCAGTAAAATGTTCCTTTTTTTCATACTTCAAAAAGGAATTGAATTATTTGTTTATTTGCTTATTTTCATGTGATTCTAATACATAAAAATATGCAGAATATGCCAAATTTTTTAATCTAATTAATCAGGATAATCAATTGCTAAAATAATCGTTAGTTTCAGCCTTAAATTACAGAACAAAGTACCACAACTCCATTGAAGTGAGGTAGAATTGAGAAGCCAACAAATCCTTTCTGAAGCACTTGTGATATTTTATTAAAATATTTTTGCTTCTATCCCAGAAACGTCGACCACAGTGGAGGAGCTCACCGGCTGGAAGTGGATGAGGAGCAGAAGACGCAGCAGGAAGAGGAGGATGATGAACAAGAGGTGAAAACAATCCTGCAGATGCAGCAACAGACTTCAGCTGATGAAGAAGCTCAGGAGGAGGAAGAAGAGCGAAGCTCCACAGGTGAAAACTGGAGAGAAATCCAGATCAGGAAGCAGCAGACACACAGGCCAGCGGAGGAGGAAGACGAGGAATATCACGAAATAAAAGAAGAGGTTCGCAAAAACTGCTGCTGAATTAATCCTGCTATTTCCTATTTTCTCATGTAACATGTTCCACTGTTAATGTTACCATTGGAACTAGAACTGTTTCATCAATTTTAAGGAATTATTGACTTAAAACAAGCTCCTGTTTCTTACTGAAAAGTCACTTTTAAGTTATTTTTGTATTATTTCAAGATATTTACACAAGAAACTAGACCAAAACTACTTGGATATAGTTTGTCTTTTTGCAGTGCAGATAAGAAATGTGGGTTTGACTCTGTTAGTTGGATGAAACATTTCCAGAGTCCCTTCTTCTCTGTCTTTAGTTTCATAAAGGACTCAAACACATGTGGACCTTTCCTAATAAGCTACAGTCTGACTTCAAGGTTGAAAGCAATAAAATCAGAAGAATGTTGCTTTGGCTCGCACAGAGCTGAAATGAAATGTTACCTGACGAAAGCAGCGATGATGTCAGTTCCCAGACCAAATTCCAGTTTTTACCAGCAGCTTGTTTCCTGTTAGTCATTAGTCTTCTGCCCAACAACGCAGTAAACAAAAGCCATGCAGAAACGTTCAGATGGTTTAATCTGGTTTCAAATAATCACAGGTGAAATCCTCTCGGCATGAAAAACTCCTCAAGAGCAGCTTTCTGTTTCAGCGATCAGAGGAGAGTGAGAGACGACGGGATGTGCTGAGCGGCGGCGGGCCGAACGCGCTGAGCGGCGGCGGGCCGAACGCGCTGAGCGGCGGGCCAGATGCGTCTCACCATACCAACAGCGAAGGCGAGGAGTCGTTAAACTGCTACGGCCCCATGAGTCCAACATTCAAGGTAACCAGTAATAACACAGGTATTCTGCTCAACACATCTGTTCTGCTTATTTTTAGCTGCATCTCCTCAACAGAAACGGCTTTGATGAGACAAAGTGATGTTCAAAATGCTTAAACATCTTTTCTTCTTCTGCTTGCAGAAACTCCTCATTCAGTTCTACCCAGTAAGTAAAAATAAATTTTAAAAAGCTTTTCAAGCAACCCAATTTCATTTCTCTGACCAAAAGTTTCATTTTTTTATTATTATTTTAAAGTTTTTGGCAATAAGTATGCTCAGTTTTTTATTTTTTATTTGCCATAAAGGAAGTGAACAAATGAGAACCAAAATCACATCAGTGTTAGTTTTTCTTTTTGTTAATTTTTCTGAATTTGTTTGCAGCCCCACTGTTAGTGAAGGTAATTGTGTTGGTGTAGTGCCTCTTGTGGTGAAGAGCAGTATTACAAAAATATCCTAAATTGCGGGGTTTTTTCCACATCTGAAGGAAATTTTTCTCTTTCTTAAGAAAATTTGTTGCTAGGTAGATTAAGTTTCTCATCGAGTTTTTTACTATAATTTTTGTTTATTTATTTATTGTTTAAAATAAAAATTATTAAATTAGAAGATTACATGAGAGTTTATTCCAGAGGGAAAAACAGATACATGGATGCTGATAATTTTTATGAAAAATAAACTTCCAATCAGTGTTTGTAAAACGATGTATCTTCACTGTGTCCTCGATGTTCTGTAAAAATAAACAATCTAACTGAACTGAAAATGGTGTGAATTGAACACAAGTTGGATCCACAGCAGAAGATGAGAATCTGCTCCCGTTTTTAAGAAATAGGGAAAGAAAAAAGGTTACAAACGACCTTTAAACATGAAATGACATTTAAAAGTCTGACTCATTCTGTTGCATCTCAGCTCTTTGTGTCTCTCAACAGGACGAGGTGAACAGTCGAGTCTCACCGGATGGAAAATGTTCGGTGAGTTCACGCCTTTTTCACGTCGATCCGAATGACAGAAGAAATAAATCTTTAGTCTTTGAGCAACTGCTTGAAAAAGACGCTAAATCAAAGAAGCTGTCCAGATATGCATCTTCAGGTTTTTAGAAATTTAGAGTCATATTTTATATGTACACATAGAAAGATACTTTATGGGTGTCAAAATGTGGTAAAATCAAATTTTTAAGCATTTAAACCAGTGATTGTCATGTCTTCTTTGTTTTTCCTCAGATAACAGAGAGGACTGAGTCTCTCAGAAGAAGGTAAGTCCAACTTAGAAAATACTATTGATGCTATTATATATTTAAAGTGTTGGCAGAATAACCTGGATTCATAACAGTGAACTGAATCCTTTTGATTAATTTCTTTAAGTAACGTATGTTTCAGAGCTTTCCACTGTTCATCAATGCTTATTAGTCTTTTTTATTCTTTATTTTGAAGCACCAGCAACATAAAGAAGACATCACCACCTCTTTCTGTTTCTAAGATTGATAAGCGATTGGAGGAATACACACATGCTCTTGAGGTAAAACCGTGTCTGCTTTTTTAATGATTTAGAGATATTGTTTAATTTAAACTTCCTGATTTGAAGCAATAAAGAATTCACATGGTCATATATTAACAGATATTTCTATATTATAAGAAAAGCATCTAGTTTTCAAATTCTCCTAGTCTCAGTTGAACAAATTTATTCTCAAAAGCAGGATTTGGGTCATTTTCTTTCAAAACGTTTCCTTTTTTTTTTTTTTTTTTACATTGATTTAAAATTTAAAAATTAATAAACAAATTTGTATTATTCTTGATCTGCAGCTGGGGCCACAAATGTCCCCAGTGGCACAATTTGGACACCCTGGTCTAAACTGTATGAATATCTCAACTTTTTGAATATTTTTATGGAGCTAAATTGTTGCCATGAAGTTTGTTAAAAAAAAAAAAACATTAAAAATGAAAATATGTTTGTAACTGAAAAAAATTGAAACTGAAAAAATGTTCAAACCTGCTTTCCAGATTCAAGTTTTTTTTTTTTTTTTTTTTTCAGTTAATTTTTTTTTTTCTTTTGAACAAACTTATGGCCATGATTTAGCTCCATAATCTGCTTGCTTTTCTGAAGATTTCTTCAAAGGAAGGAAGGTCGAGCTGCCAGGCGCTGACTGAGCTTACGGGCCCCGCTGAACCGGTCGCATCGAAGAAGAATCTGTTCGAAGCCGGAGACGCCTGGAACCAAAACGTCGCCTCAGCCGCTGCATCCAAGGTCAGGACCAAAATTATCCACCGTTGAACTCTGTGCTTCTCAGAGCACAGAGTAGGAAACTTTTTCCTACTGGGAGGAAAAAGTTTCTGGAGATTTCCGAGGCATCATTTTGTTGTAGGATTTTTAGAAAAGTAGTTTTTCACTTCTGTTCCAGGACGCAGACGGTTTAAAAGTTGGTGTGGCCGATCTGATCAACCAGTGGGTGAGAGGAGGCGAAGACGGAAGCAGGAGCGGCTCACCGTCAAAACCAGCAGTAAGCTAGAGCTTCTTTTTTATTTCAACCATAATATCTGCTTCTTACCTCCAACTTTTTTTAGTTTGGGCCTAAATGGTCAACAATTTAGGATTCAAATTTCAGAGAAAAAAAATGCATCAGCTCTCTTGTGTTAGCTCTGAAGGAAATTTGGGACTTAATGAAGAAGTCACACTGCAAAAACAAAAAACATTGCCAAGTATTTTTGTTTAGTTTCTAATGCAAATATCTTTTTTCACTTGAAATAAAACCAAACTGATTTAAAAGTAACTTTTCAAAGTGATATAGGAGTTTGTTTTAAGTCAATAATTCCTTAATATTGAGGTAAAAGTGTTACTTATACTGGCAGAATTGTTTTCACTGATAACATGAAAAAATATTTTGTTAAAAGTGAAATAATCTGCCAGTGGGACTAAAACTTTTTTAAATTATTGACTTAAAACAAGTTCCTAAATCTTGCTTAAAAGCTAAATATAAATTAAGATATTTACATTAGAAATTAAACCAAAATATTTTGTAAGATTTTGTGTTTTTCAGGTTTAGAAGAAATATGAACAAGAGAAATAAAATAAAAAGTTCATCACAGTCTGAACGTCAGAAGAATTAAACATTTAAATTCCCTGAAAGCGGACAGTTGCTGGTAATCCCCGGATATAAACTGCACCTGTCTGCAGCCTTCTACAAGCTGCTCCTCGGCATATTTATGGGCATTTCTGAGCTGGATCTCCAGTTTTCCCAGTCTGTAGTTTCAGGTTGAGGAATTTATTACAACATGCCTTTTGCCAACAGTCAAACAACTGACAACACTCTTCTTCAGATGTCCAACATCTGTATTTACTTCTAAAGGCTTGAGGTATTGTTCATCATGCTCAAAGTAGCTCGACTGGAAGCGTTGAGCTTCTCCTGCCAGGAGCGTTTAAAGATGAAAACAGCTTCATCTTCAAATCCTCTTGTCACGCTGATTTATCTGAAAGCTGCTCTCACTGCTGTCTTATTCGCTGCCTCATGTCTCCACATCTGGCGTCAATCAGGCACAGATTGTCAGAAGTTTAGGAGTTAATTCAGACAAAGATGGCTAACCTTTGTTTGTAATTCTGCCTGGTTTTAGGAAATAAGACCTGGTGGGGTTTTAAACAAGAAGAATTTATGGGAAAGCCTCGGTGACACATTATCTTCAACAAGAGACGGAAAGGTAGTCAGCAACACGCTGAATTTCTCTTCATCACATTCATTTACCTGTTCATTGTTAAACCGGCAGCCAGAAACTTTCACCTAGAACAATCTGTCCAATATCTGGAAAACATCTGTTATTTTATAATGTCTGGGGTTGGACTGTACATCAATAACAATAGACACGCGATCAATATCAATAGATAATTCAATATTTAATATGTAGAATATTAACTGAACTCTGATCCAGAACCGCACAGCATTCTGGGAGATATAGGCAGAAGAAACGCTTTAGCTTCTCAACCATTAGTCTAGATCTGTGGAATCAGCAAAGGCTGCGTTCACACTGCAGCCTGAAGTGATCCAGTTCCGATTTTTTGTCAAATCGGATGTTTTTTATTGTGGTCGTTCACACTGTATTTGTTATCCAGTGTGAGCAGGCAAACAACCTCAAAGTGTCTCGCATGCGCAGTAGAGGGCGCAATAACGTCATCGTTCTCAGTGTTTTGCCAACCGCCATAAAAAGAAGAAGTGCTCAGTGTTTGCAGAAGTTAGCAGGGATGCTAATGGTGGAACATAGCTTACACATTTGAAGTTGTTGTCAGACCTGAGCAGCATATTAACAACTTAATCCTCATTATAGTCCGTTGTTTTTCTTCCCGCTTTCCAGGACGCAGAATAGTGACATTTATTGAGTATCAGTGATGTTCAGGTCGGTCACATTTGAATCGGATACCCCACCGGGTATCCGATTGGGTTGCATTCGAGAAGAATCCGACCTGTGCTGTTCAGACTGTCATGAAAAGATCAGATGCAAGTCGCATTACGTCAAAAAAATCGGAATTGGGTCACTTCAGGCTGCAGTGTAAACACAGCCTTACTCAGTCAACTTTTGGTTACCTAGCAACTGTTTCATTCTTTGGTTACCAAGCAACAACCTGTTGAGTAACTTGCGCAGCAGCAGTTTCTGGTTTTGCCTCTTAACTGTTTTAAAAATAAAAAACAACTCCGTGGAGTGAAAACTGGATGAAACAGGAAAGGCCACACCACCAGTTAGGCATTTAAAACAAAAAAAACTAATCAATAATTATCAATATCAACTGATACAAAACATTTATATTGCTTTTCAGCCGTATTGTTCAGCTTTGCTAATGGCTAGTGCATTTATAAATTATTTTTTATCTTTAACTCTTTAACTTTGCTTTCAAAAATATCCCATCTAAGCCATTTAATTTGGCTTTAATTTAATTGTTTTTCCCTTAGTAAAGTTTAGTACACAAAATATGTCTAAAGTAGTAGTGCTATAAGAAAAGTTTTAGATAAATCTCTGAACAGTGCAGGCGTCTATGAAATGCACCTTATTAATTCTGTTTTCTCATTAATTTCAGGAAAACTCTACCAAGAGGTATAAATATGTGGTGACGGGTCACGGCAAGTATGCTAAGGTTTCTGATAATGACTGCAGTGAAGATGTCAGCTGCCAGGCAGGTGAGAAGTTTCCTTAAATACTTAATACAAATTTATAAATTGATTTAATCTAATTTAATGTTCACGATTTTATCTGTTTTTATCCTTTTGTGTTGCTTCTTGTTTTGTTTTTGTATTCAAGTAGCTTTCTATATTTTCCATACTGATAAAGATATGTGTCAAAAAAGAACAAAAATCTGTCATTGTTTTGGCATTTAGCAAGCAGAAATGCGTTTATATTAATATCTATATGTATAAATAAATGAAACGGCTGAATATGTTCAAATAAAGGATCATATAACTTTTATTATAGACAATATAATAAAAGAAGACAAACAGATTTGCTCTTTATATATTCTAAAAAACATCAGACAGTTTACAAGTTTACAAACACTGGTGTAATAAACAGGGCTTTGCTCATTTTATGTTTTCTTTACCAGCACCAAGAAAACTACTTTATGATCATCTTTTCTATACAGTTTTTATTAAAGAAAGTTTAGAAACAAAATGGGGTTTGTATGGTTAAATAAAATAAAACTGTGCTTCAAACATACTTCTTCTTAACCTCTTTTTCCATCTTCTTGAGCTTTCTTACAGTCAAACTCTTCACTACCATCTTCTTCATCCTAACTCGTCTTTTTTAACTTTACGTCCTGGTTACTATGTCAGCTGTAACCAGAATCCCAGTATTACCCATTCTTAGCTTCCTTACTTAGCTAGCTTAAATCACAATATTGATCAATTCTGTTTATATGGGGATAAAATATAAAGTTACAATAAAAAAGGTGAAAAATTATTATTTTTTTTTTTTACATATGAACATGTTTCTAAACTAAATTTCTGCACCAAAAATACACCCTCATACAACTTGTATGAGGCTAATGGTTAAACTGCTAACAGGCTAATGCTACACATTAGCCTGTTAGCAGAAATAGCTTCATTATAATCCATCTGAAGCTCCTTTCAGCTCTACAGTTGTTACTGTGCTAGCTCCAACAGCTTTTTAAAAATCTACTTTCAATTTCTAGTTTTATTTTTAATGCCAGTCTGTTAAAGTTCAGAACATCTACAACAGCTAGCAAGGCTAATACGAGCCAAGCATCTGTTCTGGCCCATTTCATTCCCTTTTCCTTTCTGAAACCTACAGTTTTTATGACCAGTCATTTCAACTTCATTCATTTTAGTTTCCTTCTTTCACAATTCTGTCCTGTTAATCCAGGAATGTAAAAGCCCTTTTTATCACAGCAAATAAAATCTGTCTGTCTACAACACACTGAAAACTTATTTACTTTAGAAAAATAGAAAAATGAAGCATGACAATTTGTCACAATTCATGCATTCTAAATAATATCTACGGCACCATTAACAGAAAACAGAATCAACCTATAAAAACTACAGAATAAATGTTTTTCTTTTGTTTTACTCTCACCCAAATTTCATCCTTATTGAATTTGTACTAAAAGCATAAAAATGTTGTGTAAGTAATCTAGCCTTTTGCAGTAAAGGCAACAAAATTTACATTTTTTTTACTTGTCGGCGTTCTTCAGAATAAATTTAAAAAATCACCAGAGTTGAAACAAGTATTTGAAAAGTGATGATTCAGCTTTTAAAGTATTATTATTTTCCCCTCGGTAAAGATGCACTTACTACATACAACAGTTTTGATTTAGTAAAATCAGATATTCAACTATTTTAGCTCACATTTCAGAAATATTGTTTCCTCTGTAAGCCCTTCTGAATTTTTATTTTGTGGTAAATCACCCACAGGATAAATCACATCATCCATTAGCCTCATCAGTTACATCAGTGTTTTTAGTCGGACCGAATCCTTTCGCCGTTCTGTTGAAATCCTTACGTTCTTCTTCCTGAGATTTACGTTTTATCAGCCCTATTTCAAAAGCTGCTGCTATTTTATTCAGCGGCTTTTCAGCTGCTTCCTTCAGCTTCCTGGCATTAAACCGAGGGCTGTACAGTAAAACTGGCAGCCGGTTGACAAACGATGGAAGCGCTGCCTGGTCGTCTTTGGACGCCTTTTTCGTGTCTGAATCTTTCTTGTTGGAATTGATTTGGTGCATAATTTTTTCTTTGGTAGAGAACATTTGGAAGAGGAGTGCATCCCACATCTTTAGTGCCTTGGGTCCTTCTTTGTTCTGCATAACTTCCTGGTTCATATCCTGGTCGGCAGGCGGCATGTCCATCATGTTATCGGTTATTCCGTCACTGCCAATAGGAGTGACCAAAGGATTGTCCACGGGATCAGGAAATTTGGGTTCCTCTGGCTCGACAACCATGTGCTTTTTGAGCCTTGTCCACCCACTGAGCTTCCCCTTAAGGCCTTTTAGCTTCTGGGTTGGTTTTTGCTCAGTGGATGAACTTGATGTTCCCTCTACTTCTGACTTTTTCTCAGTAGCTGAAGATGCAGTTGATGTCGTTGACTTCGTGAAGGATTCGACTGCTGGCGTTTCCTTGGGTGTACTTATGGCCTTCAGAATGTCCTTGCCTTTGAGTCCAGTTTTTAGCTGAGATGACGGTGATGTTCCTCTGTTTGGAGATGGAGCTTTTACTGAGACTGAGGCCTGAGGCAGAGAGGCAGGAGTGGCAGAATCAATCACAGCATCTTTTACTATGGACGGTTTCATGACAGTGTCTGCTGCTGGCTGTTCAAGGGAAGCATTCTCTACTGGTTTCTCATTATTCAAGTGCGAACTAGCCTGGATTGAATTGGCGAGAGGCTTTGAAGGCGCTGGCTTTACTAGTGAGGGTTTAGTGTCTGCCACGGCAGAGGAAGGTCTTGATTCTACTAGCTGAATCGACGGTTTTGCTTTTAAAATTGGTGCACTGTTCAAAACTGAGTCACTGGCCATGCTAGTTTTGGAAATAAGCGAGGAGAGAGTTTCTACTCGGTTTGAAAATTGGTTTGTTTTTGTGTTTTCTGCTGGGGAAATTAGTTTTATCTCATTGACCGAAGAGTCATTTGGTGGAGATGTTTTAGTTTCTGGTTTTAAGATACTTTCTTTGACTGACTTCTCATGCTGCTGAAGCACACTGTTTGGTGTAATATTTTGAAAAGGCGTATTGGGTGAGTGTTTTGGTTGGTTTGTAGTGGTTGGGGAAGGGTTTGTTGAACTGTCCAAAGTAACAGGACTTTGATAGGACTGGGGTAAATTAGGAGTGTACGTTTGTATTGGCGTGTAACTCACCCTTGGCTCAAGCAATGGAGAAGCTCTCATTGCTGCCCATGGTTTATGTGTAATTGGAGGACTATATGGGACTTTGAAATCTTTGTTAGCTTCTTTGAGAGGCTGGATGATTTTAGTAGAGTGTTCATTTATAACAGCATATGGAAAGGATTGAGGATTCTCATTTGGGGCATTGGTTTGGGATATTGTTGGGAGTTGATTAGCTTTACTAAACTGTTGAGATGTATTTACAGGCAAAGACATTTGATTGGGCTTTACAAGTTGAGTGTTTTCACTTAAATCAAATATGTTAGTCTCAATTTGACCTGATGCAATGGACATCTGCGCTGTCATTGCAGGTGTTGGAGAATTTTTGTTTTTTGACGATGGACTTGCTAAGCATTTAGGATCCATAACTGGCTCAATAACAGCATAATTTTCTTTTACTGTAGTTTTAATAATTTGGTGCATAGGTACTTCTACTGATCTGTTCACATACTGAAGGTTTGGAGTCACTTTACCCTCAAGAGGCCCAATAACTGATTTCTCATTCATTGAAGACTTTGACGAAAAATGATTATTTGATCTGTCCGATTTCATCTGTGGACTTTTTGGTGGGATTTGCCTCATTGTGGGACTGGAGGCAACCACAATTTTACTAGGTTGCTGAGCATTAAGCACTGGTTTAACAATCACTGCTGACTCTGCTAATGTTAAAGATGCTTCCATGTGAAGTTTGTTTGAAATTGTGTTTTCAATTGTGAGAATATTGTCAACATTGCTGCGGAAACCAACATTTGATTGGGCTGCCAAGTGCTGAGTAGCTCCATTTTGTGCAGATAAACTTGTATTTGCAGGTAGTTTATTGGATAACTTGCATTCACTTATTGGCATGCTCATGTTTCCTGTCTCCTTTGGTGCAAAGTTTTCTGCTGTGGTGTTTGCTAAAGAAAAATGTGGATTCACTTGAGTGCTTAGACTATTCTTTGTAGTTTCTGTATATATTTCTGTAGATGTATATGAAGTTGCACGGAGAGTTTCTGCTTGCATGGCTTGACTTGGGAAATGCCACCCCATGTTATTTTGTGTTTTTACAAGCACATTTGCAGGTATCATTGTTAGCTTTTCTAGCTCTTTTGTTGGCACATGTGGATGGTTTGAGTTGATTGTAGCTCCAAGTGTGGCGTGGGTTTTTATTTCTGTGGTAGGTTTACTTGGTAAAATATTTGCATTCAAAAAATTTGATGGGAGCGAATTGAAGTTGTTTTTTAGAGCTTGGTGATTTGTACAAACTGGAGTTTCTGTACTGTGTGGATGCATAATTCTTGTGCTTGTTTTTGGTGAGGATACTATGCAGATATCGTACTGCCCAGGGCAAACAGATACTGTCACAGGCTCATGAGGAAGCATCAGTCCTCTGGTAGGGATAAGAGGCTCTGTGGGCATTTTTTCATGAGTGTGCTCTGTATTTGCAGGTGTAGATGACAAGGTGTTCCCCATATTTGTTTTATTTGGTAGAGTAATGCTTTTGCTCGCCTTAATTTGGCATTTGATCTCAGCATCGTTTCTGTCTTGAATACCTTCATTTGTTTTACTAGACAGCTGGATTTCTGAAACCAGTTCAGTAGACTCTTTACCTGAAATAGCTCTGCTATTTATAACTTGACTTTCTGGGAATTTACTCTGTACTTGGGCCATAGGGTTTGGGAAAGCTTTTGTTTCACAGTCTGCTGGATTTGGTATAAATGTGGCACCTGGTTGAACATTTATATTATTGAGTAACGATGGATTGACTTTAGTAGGATTTATTTCCATTTTTCCTAATTGTTCATTTATATTTGTAACATTGGACACTGCAGCGCAGCTTTTTTCAGGCAAAAAATGAGTTTGATCAAGATTTGATGGTTTGAGGAGAACATCTACTCCTTTTGGCTTAGGTTGTGATTCTGCATTTAAATCTTTGACCAAAGGTGAGGAGTAAATATTTGGGCCAATACTTGTTTTTTGCCCTGCCTCTACTGAAAACTGCACCAGATCTTTTGTGTGTACCTCACCTGCTTTAGGTATTGGTATTGAAGCCTCTGAGTATGAGGCTTTAGTTGTGGATGCATCACTTGTGGATTGCAGTATTGTTTTCTGTGCCAATCCAAAGGGAAAGTTGGGTTCTACTGTTTCCACTGCAGATGTTTTTACTGACTCTATCCCAACATCCTGAGTTCCAGTCCAACTTTCCTCTGTGATATCATCATTGCAGTGTGTGAAAATCCCTTCCTCTGAAACTTCTGAGTGGGATGACTGTTCTTTGTGACCCACAGAAGTTAGATCCTCAAGTCCATCAAAATGTTTTTCTTGCTTTGAGACACCTGAGTCCTCTAGAGTTTTGTCTGTATGGGTGATGTCAGAGTTTTCATCAACGTCGGGATGCACAGCACTGCCATGCGAAAGACCTGTCCTTATTCCACCATAGGCAGCATACTCAACTGGAGTTAGTCCGTAATATGTAGAACGGGATTTGGGCTTTGAGCTTGCTAATGACATTTGTGTCTCCAAAAGAGAGGTCAAAGACTTGCGTGCCTCCACTACAGGAGGACGATAGGTGGAGAACCCTGGGCTTGGACTTTGTGACCCTTGCACTGAAATCAAAGGTGTAGGGCTGAGATTGTTTGGTACAGAAAGAAATGATGGCACCGTTGGCAGAGATGAAGCTTTGCTTTCTGCAACCTGGTCTGTGTTGGGGTTGATGAACTGTGTTACTGTAGGTCTAACCACAGGAAATTCATGCATATTAATTTTCTCTCTGTGGTGTGACTCACAAGTGACCAAACTTAGATTCATTGTACTCTTCCGTGTATTGGGAATTTCTACCTCCCTATACATGTTTTGTTGTTTGATGAAAGTTTGATTAGTGTCATCAGTTTGCTTTTGTTCTTCAGTCGCAGCTGAAGGTTTACCCAAAGACCAACCTGGAATTGCTGAATTGTCTCTAAGTGCCTCTTTCTTAATAACTAGTGCCTGTAAATCCTGGAAGGAGTTGAAAGTAGGGTTCACAGTGGATGTAAGTGGGTTGGGTTTTGATGTTTCAAAAATAGGAGTTGATATTTGAGCTGGTGTGTAAGCCAATGGCGAAGGTCTCGCACTCTGGATCCAAGGTGAAGACAGTTCCTGATCAGCATTTACTGACGGCACAGAGGCTTTCTGACTAAGTCCTCCAGATAAAGAGGCTCCTTGAGGGGCTAGGTTCATCACTGTGAGGTCCTGGACAGAGTGAGGTTTGGATATCTCATAAAATGTGGCCTTAGATGTATAGATTTTAGCTGGCATGGCTTCAATCTTTGGCTCCTTCACTGCATCGACAAGAGATATTTTAGAGACAGTTATCTCAGAAGACATCAGCCGAAGAGCACTATTGCCAATGCTGGCTATGTTAGCTCTAGTTAATGTCTGTCTCTGAAAGTCATCCTTTATATTAGTGTTTGTCTCCCTCTGGCTGGGAATGAATGGCTGTGTATGAGTGTTTGAAACTGATAGGGGCAGTGGAGCAGGAGAAAGACCTGCAACATGAGAAGGCGTTGGGTCAATGCCGGAGTTGGCGGCACCAGTGGACAGGGTCAGGCTGTGGGTTGATATTTTTGGGCTGCACTGTGAGATGGCAACTGGAGAGACTGTTGTGACTGACCCATGGGAGTTTGATGTCATGTTGAAAGCTGGGGGAAGACGTGGTGCAGAAACCTGCTGCCGTGCTGCTGAATATGTCAAAGGTGGAAGTATGAAGGGAGAAGCATCATCAAATAGGAAAGAGGAGCACTCGTACAGCGGAGCCACTTGCGGTTGAGAGGTCCTGAACCCAGCTGGGTGGGATGCAGGGTGAAAGCTGTTGGTTTGTCCATTGAGACTGCTCTGAGGATGAGGGAATGCAGGTACAGAGTGATCGTAGAAAGAGCCAAAGGGATAACCGGAGACAGAGGAGTCAGCAACGTAGAGTGACTCTGGCGTCCTTGGTGGGCTGCACTGATCACTGTGCTCTAGGTCTGTGCTGGCTTCATTTACAGGCGATAAACAGGAGCGGAAGGGGATGGGCGTCTGAGAGAGGCTGCCTTTTTTCTTGGCTCTCTTCTTCTTAAGTTTCTGAAGCCTTGCATTGTCTTTGCCTGGTTTTGGCAGTAGAGGGGGAGGATACTGCTGCGAAAGGTCTGTCTCCAGTCCATTAGTGTAACACACTTCCATCAGCATTGCACGTTCCTACCAGAGAATGGAACATAACAACAGAGATGCTGTCAAATGAAATGATGATGAAATAATTAAAAGACACAGCAAGCACTTTAATAGTTTCACGTTCGCTCACTGAGTGACTAGAAATAGTTATACCACTGAATAATCCTCTTCCATACTTATCGGAAAAGGATTAGGGCCACAAGGGGAAACAGAATTTTGACTTTTTTTCTCAGAATCCTGACTTTTTTTCTGACAATTTGGACTTTAATCTCCTTTGCTTTTCTGAAAGTCGGAATTCTGAAAAAAAAAAAGTCAGAATTCTCATTTTGATCTCAGAATTCTGACTATTTTTCAGAATTTGGAGTTTAATTTTCTGAGATCAAAACTCAAGGTCAGAATTTGGAGAAAAAAAAGTCAAAATCCTGACATAAATCTCAGAATTCCAACTTTTTCCTCAGAATTTTGACTTTTTTTTCTTGGAATTCTGGCTTTTTTCCTCTGAGATCAGAAGTCAGAATTCTGACATCACAGTCAGAATTAGAACTTTTTTTCTGAGAATTCAAACTTTAATATTCAATTTCTGACTTTTTTCTCCGAATTTTGACTTTTGATATCAGAAAATTAAAGTCAGAATTTTTTTTTTTTTTTTTTTCCAGTGGCCCTAATCCTCTTCCGTATATCCGTTTGTTTGATGTAAACTAAAATTGTTTAGTAGATTAGTGTAAATGGCATTAAAGTCTTTTTTCCTTCTTTCATAGCTGAACATCTCTTTGAAGATTTGTGAAACGCCTCTTTGGAATATTGGACGACAAGCCACTATCTCTTCACCATTCTCTTTTTGTTGGGCTATAACCTGGAAAAATACCAAAATCCTTCTTTTGCTTTGGGACTGATATCTTTCTGTACTTATTGTATCTTTGAATACAATCAAATAAATCTGAATAAAGTACTTTTTAGTGTTCATTAGTTTCTTTATCCTCTGTCAAACATTTGTTTATTATTTATCACGAGGTATAATCGTTCTCTTTTACAGTGCTCCCAGTATAGTATTCAGCTGCTTACTGGTTTTAGTCGTCTAACCCCTGCCATGGCTTGGAGACAATTTGGCCACTGAGAACTGAGATCTTATAACACCAGATTCATTTCCAAGCTCAAAAGATCTTAATTGGGTTCTGAAAATGATGCACAGTTAAAAGATGTATGTGAATTAGAAATAGAATGACATTTAAAGATGTTTCTTAAAGTAGATCAGCTTTGAAATGATGACAGGCTATTTACTCGGATAGTCTTCTTATGAAGATGGTCATGGTTTAAAAATTACCTCTGCAATAAATAGAAGTAAACCTCAAGTAAGATGGTTGAAAACTACAGGAGGGTGACTGAGTTTATTCAGAAAGGATGGTGTATCCAAGTAACGGAGGCTTTAAATTAATTCACTGGTCAGTTTGATGACATAAACAAAGAAGTCTGACCAATGAACAAACTGAATATTCTCACATGGTTTGTAGCAACAGGTTTTGGATCTCTTGGAGTTCCTGTAAAAAGAAACCAAGCTACCTTCAGCAATTATAAGTTAACAAACTCAACTTTCGACCAAAGTAAAACTATAGGTGCAAAAGAATTTAAGTTCCGTAAAAATCTGAAAGATTTATGAAAGTAGGAAGTGTAAGTTTTAGAAAGCTGCATATTTTATTGGTAAGTACTGGAAAGTAAACACTAATCTGTAAATTAATAATAGTAACATGTGTGTTACTATTAGGGGTTTAAACCTAATAGTAACATAGGTTTAAACCCTCTAGGTAATAACATTACTCACGTTTTTTTACTGCCACCAACATTACCAGCAGTCATTTTGCTGGCAAATTATGGAAATTAATCTCAAAGTTCCAGAGTATAAATTCCAACATTTCCTGGAAAGTATGTGCCTTCCTGGTACGTATAAGTCGCACCAATATAATTTATAAATTCCACATTAAGTCTTCAAATAACCTGAAATAGCCAAAAAGTTAAATAACCTGTGCTTTGTGCTCAAATATTTGACAAGTGAGTATTATGGCCATATTTGTAGGCATAGTAGGTGATTAGTGTGTGTCTAATGAGTGAGGACGTGGCCTAAGTGCATAATTATTAGGTAGTTTATCTTATTTTGGCAAAATGGGACAACAAAAGATTTAACTGACCAAAAGTTTATTACAGGGCTGCATCATTCTTGAAATTGGGGCATGATCACAGAATTATCAAATGTTTTGTTGCAAACAGACAAGAAACATGCTGAGAAAAATAAAGACCCAAATTAACTGCCAAGGATTTGAGAAGAATCAAGCACTAAGGTACCATGAACTCATTATCTTCAAGCTCTTTCATATTCCACAACTACAAGATGTAGTGTCTAGAAGAACAAGATGTTCATGATCAGAGACATTGCCAAGGTAAAGAAGGCTGAAACCTGACACATAAATTGAAGCATCTCACTGGGCCAGGAAATATGTGAACACAGATTTTTCAAAGGTTTCATAGACTGATGAAATGAGAGTGCCTCTTAATGCAGCAGATGGATGGTCCCATGGGTGGATCAGTATCTGGCACAGAACTCTACCCTGAGCCGGACGCCAGCAAGGTGGAAGTGGGCTACTAGTATATTACAAAATACATTAAAGATCTGTTATATCAACCTTCCAGACCTCTCAGGTCTGCATCCCCAGAACCAGAACCAAACATGGAGAAGCAACTTTCAGCTTCATGCACCACAAATCTGGAACAAATTTCTGGAAAACTGGAAACAGCTGAAACACAGAGTCCCTTTCAATCGAGACTAAAAATCCACCTGTTTTAGAGTTGCTTTTGAACCTTAATAAGTGGAACATTGACCAACATATTTGATGTATATTGATGATTTTAATGATATTGCTTTTTCACAATTGTTGACTATATGATGTTTATGGGGTTTTTTTATGTTTTCATGATGTAAAGCGGTTTGACTGCCTTGTTTCTGAAATATGTTATAGAAATAAACTTGGTATGGGCTTGTGATTTGGATAATAGCCGCTTTTAGTGGCAGCTGTTGTAGCCAATCAGAAGCAAGTGTCGCTAAGTTTGGTTGAGAGCGCATCGTTTTGCTAAACTTCATAGCGTTAGAGGTTCGATTCGGTTCTGTCTTCGTCAATATGCGTCATAAAACGCGTGAGTATTGTAAACGGTGACAAAAAAGTGAGAAATTTATGTGAAAGTCTTTCTGGTTCAATTAGCTTCGTAATGCGATAACATTTATAGATTGATTATCGTATGCTAATTGCTAAAATGTTGAGCTAATTTGTATTAGCTCAACATATTAGCAATTAGCTACTACAAGCTATATTCGTTTGTGCCGTTATTGCTTTAGTTAGTACTGATTCACAGTAGAATGAAATATTTTAAAGAGCCACTAATCAATTAATTTTTAATAAATAGGACTGAATTATCTGCTGTGCTTTCATATTCAAGCAACATAATTGGCTCTCAAAACAGGGCTGGTGTTATTAAATATGAGCTGGTTGGACTTTTCGGATGAAAAAACTCCCAAAATCAACTCCCAGACCTACTACAAGATTTTAGAAAACACTTTTTTCAAGTAGTGGGACAGAAAGAAGTCTGCATCTTCCAAAAATATGATAATTTTCATGCAGGGCAATGCCCAACAACAATAGTTGCCCAATAATTGTGCACAATGCACATTCAGATATTCTTCTAAGAGAAATATCTGAAAGCCTTTTACTTAAGTATTTACGTTTGAGGTTTGTTGACATTTTGGATTAATCAACACTAATGTAGATTGTGATTTAAAAAAATGGTCTTTCACTATAAGCGTTCCCTAATACACTGAAGAAAAAAAAATCACACACAAAATCTTACCAAGTGTTTTTGTGTAGGTTTTAGTGAAAATATCTTGGTACACTTGAAATAGAACTAACTTGCAAGTACTTTTTCATCAAGATATTTGAGCTTATTTAAATAATTCTTGAATATTGGTTGAAAAAACAAACTTGTGGTTCCACTGGCAGATTATTCCACTTATAACATGAGAAAACTGTATTGTTGTAAGTGAAGTGATCTGCCAGTGGAACTGGAACTTTTGCATCAATATTAAGGAATTATTTTCTTTAACCAAGCTCCTATATTTTGCTGAAAAGTTACTTGTTAATTTTGTCTTATTTCAAATGCACTAAGATGTTTGTAATGGAAACTAGACAAAAATAATTGATAAGATTTTGGGTGTTTGCAGCGATTGTGCACACTGTGTATACATTCTGGGTGAGCTGCAGAAATATTCTTACTAAATTAAAAAAAACAGCCTCTAATTTCTAGAGTGGTCACAGTTTAATCAGTGGTACAAGCTTTTGTTTGATTCATCATCACTAATTAGAGAACTAACAGTTTTTCCAAATTCTAACTGATATTTTCAAACAAAAGGGGGAAAATCTGTTGAATAAGTTGTGTGGTGAAGGTGTTGGAGAGTGTGTGAGTGGCTCTAGGAGAGATCCAGGTTCTAATTTTAGTGCGATGGAAAAAAGAGCAGCACCTGCTGCCTGCTGTCCTGTACTTAGTGGAACCGCTTCAGTTCTCCTGTAATCAATCTCAGGCTCAAATCCTCTCAGAGAGGCTCTGACTGCACGCTGAGCCCCGTGTAGCCGTGTGAGAATGTCTGTTAAATTTCTACTTAAACCATAATTTCTCTGCTTTCTCCTAAGAAACAATCAAGTTTTCTCCTAACAGAATATTTTTTTACAAGCTGAGGCTTGGTAACTCTTGAAAACTCTGTTTAACTTAAAATCTGAAATGCTTTTTGAGTAAATATTTATCGCAAATCCCTGCTGTCAAAGTGACTCCTGTCATCGCAGAGACAAAAAGCGCAGCTGCAACATGAGACGCCCCCTATTTAAGGCTCTGGGTCGGGACATCAGGGACGTTTTCACTCCGGCAGCAAAAGAGGAAAGTGTAAGATTAGCTTTGTGTTAAAAGTGGGCCGTGACCTCAATCCATCTACTTTAAAAGCAGTTAGTTAGATGAAACTAATGGTTTTATATTCGCATTATTAATCTAAAGCCTTACCTGACTTGGATGCTTGTGCTTCTTGTGTTTTTTGTTGCTTTTATTGGCTGTGAGGGAAACAACAGTGTGATGTTAGAGCTCATTTCTCACTAAAATGACAAGAAAAGTTTTTAAAATGCAGCTGTTTCAGCTAATATGTGATTCATGCTCATATTCATCCGTCTTAGCACAAGTGTATGCAAGGCATGCAGCATGTTAGGCGCTTGTTTGCAAGCCCATCCTCCTGAGGACACATCTTAATGTCTGATATGCATCAAGCATTTGAAATTACGAATCGTGCACAAGCTGTTCTCAAGCTCAATACGCCTGGTTTGCAGGCCATCGCCTGGTCGGTATGTCAGGACCTTTCACCAGAACCAGCAGCAGACTCTTATTTTGAGTGGATTACCTTCAGCTGATGGAGGGAAAAAAACTGTTCTCTGCTTGTTAATCCGGGCTCAGAGAGCAGCAGGGCCGCCTCATCCTGAAGTCAACTGGAGCCTCGGGGAACGAGCAGCGGTGCCTGCAGACGCTCCAAAAATAAAGCTGTTGCCTTCAGTGTGTGTTGCAGGGGCAGACGGGGGTTTCCGGGCCACCTGAGACGGCGCAGGTGCAGCCCCTACAGGCGGGCCACGGCCACCTCCACCTGGAGGAAGGTGGCAGAGGAGAGGAAGCTCCTATCATCAAACTGTCTCTGTTGCTACAACCAAAACTTAAATTAGGAAACTTACAGAGGTTCTTACAAACAGATTTTACCTGATTTACTACTAAAATATTCAGCTTATGGATCTGAAGCTGTTAAAGATAAGAACTTTAATGTTTGATATTCCCCCCCCCCTGATTTTTGCTCACAGTTCTTCACTTGAAAAGGATTTACACTGCAAAAACTCAAAATCGTACCAAGTATTTTTGGACTAGTTTTTTGTGCAATTATCTTAGTGTACTTGAAATTAGACTAAGCTAACTTAGAAGTGAATTTTCATCAAGAAAAGTGAAAAAATATGAAACAAATTCTACTTTCACTGGCAGATTATTTGATTTATAACAACACTTTTGTTTCATATTATAAATGAAATAATTTCCCGGTGGAACTAGAACATTTTCATCAATATTAACAAGTTATTAAAACAAGCTCCTATATGTTGATAAAAATTACTTGTAAGTTAGTTTTGTTTATTTCTAGTGTACTGAGATATTTGCACTAGAAACTAGACCAAAAGTATTTGGTAAGATTTTGTAGTTTTTTGCAGTTTCCCTGTGAAATTATTTGTTGATGGGCAGGACAAAACCAGAGCCGTTTTTCATTAAATTTATGAATCTGATTATATTAAAAAAATAATAACTTTAATATTTGATTTTTGTGTCCTGAGTACTGCTGATTATTTTTAATTTTAAAAGTATTTACCTGTAAAATTATTTTGTTGATTAGTAAGATAAAACCAAAACACTATTTATGAGGTTTGTTTATTTTTTATAATCAAACTGCATGTGCTCATCTAAATTACAAGCTTTTATTGGAGGAAAAAAATGATTAAATTATTCTCCACTGCTTTCAGGAGCCAAAATATTACTTATTGATCACAAGACAAATCTAAATATTTGTTTTTTGCTTCTTTTCCTTCCAACTTGTTGATAAATCCAATTTGTAATAATGCATACGGCCACCAGGGGGCTCTGTGCTTTCACCCGTCCATCCAAACCCTGAACCTTCTTCCTGAAAGGCATCAGTAGACATCTTAGCTGTGTAATCATAACCATCAAAGCTTTAATAACCACCACTTATTATAAAAAGATCCAGGAATTTTAAAAAAGGAACAATATATTTGATTAAAAAAAATTCTAACATCTATGTGCTATCATCAGCTTTACTTGTTTTACATTTAAAGGGCTTTCAGGTTCACACATTACTAAAGTAACATTTATTTCTATGGCAGAAGTTGAAATCTTTATGAAAAATAATTAAATTAATGAAAAAACTGTTTAAAATTGCTGACAGAGATGAAGGTGTAACAATATATCCAGTTTAAATGAGAGATCTTACCTTGAAGTAGATTTTAGTACCGCATTTGTTTCCTTTAAATCTCCCCAAACACCTGAAAATGTCAAATTATGTAACTATAAGGTCAATGGAAACACAGCTATAGATTAAAGGATTCCCCAATCTAAGGATGCACCGATTGCAGTTTTCTGTTCAATCGCCGATTATTGATCTTTAAAAAGCCTGACTTGCCGATTCCAGCCAATATCAATTTTTTGTCTGAAATGTTGCTCAATATAACAAGAAAGTTGCTGAGTTGGCAACATTGGGGTAACTATTGTTAACTGTAAACGTGCAGAATGACCTGGTGGGCCATCTGTCAGTCTGACCTCTGCCTGCAGATCAGAGGACAGTGGCTGATTTTAGACCTGAGGTGGAAAAGATCAGGGAATAAGATCAGCTTCACATGGAAGTATCGTCCAATCACTGAGCTCCCAAAATTAAGGAAATCGGCACAGATAAATCGGCTAGTCAATAAATCAGTGCACCGTTACCTCGAACATGCGGGAAAGAATTAAGGTATGTTTTTGATGAAGGAATAACGTTATAGCATGATGTAAAGTTTAAAAAATTTTATTTAACACAATACTGCCCCTTTAAAAAACAGCAGCTTAACCCACTTATCCTCATCTCCTCTGACAGGCAGAGGCGTTTGCTTCAGCGGTCACCGTCAAAGTCACTGCAAGGCGTTTGAAGCATCAACTATCCACCTGATGACACACACACACACACACACACACACACAGCAGGGATCAGGGTAAAAACAAGCTGGACAGCGGTGTGTGGACCCACGGATTCCCCTCACCTCTCTTATAACCAATCTTAATTCTGTTTCTCATTATCCGTTGTTTAAAGCAGTAAGCAGTGAATGTCTGTCACTCTTTCTTTGGGACTTTGCTTTAGTTCGAGCAGCGATTTGAACAGAGAGAATCAACAACCAAGCAACAATCCGTTCTCACATAAACAGTTTCAGCTCAACACGGTCAGGGCGCGATGTTTAGTTTCAGTCTCTCATCTTGTCAGAAAGATTCAAAGCAAAATCTTAAGTGAAGTATTCTTTGAGGAAGATATAGGAGCTTGTTTTAATTCAACAATTTCTTAATATTGATGAAAAAGGTCTACATTTTTTCACGTGTGGGAATATTTTCTTGTTACAAGTGAAATAATCTGCCAGTGAAACTGGTACTTTTTCACTAATATTAACTATTAACTCTAATTAAGCTCCTAAATCTTCCTAAAAAGTTACTTGTAAGTTAGTTTTGTCTAATTTCAAGATATATGCATGAGAAACTATGATAAAAATCATTTAGATTTTGTGTTTTTGCAGTGTTACATGCTGAAGTGACTTTTTTAAAGCCTTTCATCCATGATTTATTTCTGATGTGACGAAAAACTGATTTTCCAACTGAAAATCGTTGGTGAACCTTTTCTTTGGAGGAAATGATCCAATCAAATCCTGTTCTGTGCATTCATGTAAATTAGTTTAATCTTTTTTCACTATCTGTACTAATATTAACATATTTGCACTAGAAACTCGACCAAAACATCTCAGTAAGATGTTGTGTTTTTTCTGGTAATGATGAGGCCTGGATCTGAAATTATTGTGTTCACTGAGGTTTTCGTTGTCTGATATTAAAACTTATCTGATGATCTGAGACATTTAACTGACAAAAAGCAGAATAAATAGAGTTTGTGGTTAGTTTTGTTTGTTCCTTTGTTCTATTCTTACTCCAGCGCTGTGCGTCTCTTCCCGGCCTGACGGATGGAGCTCCTCGTTGATGAACCGGTCAGCAGCCACACAGACTTTCCTTCCATTGTCTGCATGCCAAGCCGATGTGTAAGCCCCGCTCTCGGCCTTCTGTCACTGTAAATTTAGCAACAGAAGCTTCTCAGCTGCTCCTTTCCAAAACCTGAGCCCTCCTCTTCCATCCATAGTATTCTACCCATCTCCTTCTCCAGGGTCATGGATGCACTTCCCCCAGCCTCTCCACCTTCATCCACACACACACACACACACACTCCGCTCTCATCCCGCAGCCAATAAGGGCCTGATGATCTCAAGTATCACTATAGCAGCAGGACTTATTCTCTGAGCGGAGCCTGCGGATACTTACAGACCTTCATCTTCATCGCCGAGGGAGCTGATCTTCCTCTTTTGGGTAAGAATTCACTTTTCATACACCTGAAAAACAGTTTTCTTATTATTTGTTTCTCATTTTATGTGGAAAAAAACTGTCTTTTTCCACAAAAAGTAATGAAGATATTAAAAGATGTTAGCAGAGATTGTTCACTAAAAATCAGTTTTTAAGGGAAAGTAGATCCATTGGTCAGTAAATTGATTGGTATTTTTATGCCGACATTGAAAATCTTTTGAAGTGGAGCGCCGGATTGCTGGTGGATGTATATTAAGACTTGTGAATTGTCCGCTATGACAATGCTGCTCACAATGTTCTGGTCAAGCAGTTGACATTAGCGCTTTATTTGACTGAGCTCTTTTTCTCCTTGATACTAAAGCTCTAAAATATATCCCATTAAAAAACAACACATCATCTGACATTAAATCCTCCAAACCAATAAACTATCCTACATGGTGAAATTATATAATAAATACTCTATTGTGTCACAATTTACATTTAAAATAAACTCTCTTCAAAATGCACAAAAAAATGTTGAAAAATGTTGTCATGTGATGTCTGCACTGAAAACAAGACAGCAATACTTGGTAATATTTAGTATTTTTACAGTGTTTTCACTAAAGTGACTATTTTAAAGATTCTCATCCTCGATTTTTGATGTGAAACTTGGCTATTGGCTCTTTCACACTGTAAAAAAAACACAAAATCTTAAGTATTTTTCTCTATTCCTAGTGTAAATATCTTAAAAAACCTGAAATAAAACAAAACTAATTTACAAGTAATTTTTCAGCAAGATGTAGAAGCTTGTTTTTATTCAAACGTGCTCGTTTCACTGCTACAAAATGTCTTGTTCTCAGTGAAATAATCTGCCAATGCAACTAGTAGTTTTTTTTTCATCAATATTAATAATTTTTTTACTTAAAATAAACTCCTATATCTTGCTAAAAAGTCTCTTTTAAGTTAGTTTTGTTTTATTTCAAGTGTAGTAAGATATTTGCACTAGAAACTAAAGTAAAAATACTTGGTACTATTTTGCGTTTTGGCACTTCTTGGCCCGTGTTTCAGAGTTTGAACTGATTCCCACCTGGTTGTTTAGCTGAAAACACGGTTCGCGCCTTGAAGACATGAGGTTTTGAGATGTGCAAGAGGCTCTCCGTCTCCATCAGCTACTTCTCTCTTTGACACAGCACCTAAGAAGCTCAGTCAGTTTCAACACCAAGTTTCAGTTTCAGAAAGTCTTAAGTTTTCAGAAGAAAAAAAAAACGGAGCGCTCACTAAATATACAGCATGCTGAAATGTCGGTATGCGCAGCGCGACCGCTGTGCACACAGAGGCGAGAACGCTGTCAGCTGCAGGTGGATCAAAGCGCTGGTTGGTTGGAGGTGGGCTCTGATTGGCTGGGTGGGAGCAGAAGATCCTCCCGCTGGACCAAGCAGAGGGATTAAACTGCTATTTGAACACTGTTCCTCAGCTGATGGGCAGAAATGTGATCCAGAACTAATCCACAGAGTCCTCTGCAGCTGTGCCCACCGCTGAGTGCGAAGAGTCATCCAAAGGCAATTTATATATAACAGATATGATATAGAATATACAGAGAGGTGATTTCACCAAAGAGAGACGAATGAATGGGTTTTACTTCATTCTGAAGCCTTACATTGCAAAAACACGAAGTCTTACCAAACAGTTTTATCATAGTTTCTATTGCAAACATCTTAGTACATTTGACATAAGACATAATTAACTTAACAGTAACTTTTCAGTAAGATACTGGACCTCATTTCTGTGTATTTTTGGTGAAAATGTACGAGATCCACTGGCAGATTATTTCACTTGTAACTCTGGGAAAATGTGTTGTTGTAAGTGAAATAATCCTCCAGTGGAACCAGAACTTTTTCATCAATATTAAGGAATTATTGAGTTTAAAAAACTCCTACATCTTGCTGAAAAGTTACTTGTTCTGTCTTATTGCAAGTGCATGTGATGTCTGCACTGAAAACAAGACAGAAATACTTGGTAATATTTAGTATTTTTACAGTGTTTTCACTAAAGTGACTATTTTAAAGATTCTGATGTGAGGAAAAACAGATTTTCCCACTGAAAATCAAAATATAACCTTTTTTTTGGAGAAATTTGAGAAAATGATCCAATCAAAGCCTGTTTTGTTCATGCACAGATTTTCTTTGTGCACTTAGCACAGAAACAATCTGTTCATTTTTAATTGTTTCTTTATGTTTACCTGGCTTTACTGTGACCCATCCATCTATTTTCTGTGCACCCTTGTCCCTTCGTGGGGTCGGGAGGCGCTGGTGCCAATCTCCAGCTATCGTTCCGGGCGAGAGGCGGGTCACCCTGGACAGGTCGCCAGTCTGTCGCAGTACTGTGACCCAGTGGCATGTAAATAGAAAAACGGAGCGTCTGCAGCCAGAGGCGTCTTCATTCTAATTAACCTTCATGTTGTAGGTCAACGAGACAATCCTAAATGCTTAAGTATAAGAAAACTTGTGTCAAGAAACAGGAAAAGAAGTCTGGTTGCCCTCTGGCAAATAACCGCTCAGGATTGTCCTATAAATGAGAATCTAAACCGGTTCATTTACCGTTGTCCCCATCCTGGAAGGTTCTGTGGGTTCTGTAGGAGTTCCACAGGGAAGCTAATAAGCTTATATATGCTGCTGAAATTTACATCAGAGTTAGTTTTGTCTTATTGCAAGTGTTCTAGGATATTTTCACAAGAAACTAGATCAAAATTATTTGGTAAAATTTTTTGTTTTTGCAGTGTTGAGGGATAATGAGCCAAAACACATTTCCAAATCAAACGCATCAGTAGTTCATAACACATTATTCTTCCTTGGCAAACTCAATGTTCACCTAAATCCTTTAGAAAACCTGTTTGGCAAGCTGGAAAAACCATTTTTCAAATGGTTTGAGATTGTTCCACTGCAGTAATATGTACAATTTCAGGAACGAGGCTGCAGTACAGCACATGGAAAACTTTCAGTTTCTCACACAACAATAGTGCAGATGATCCGCGAGGTGGTTTGACTCAGAACCAGAATTAAACATGTGAATACAAACTTGCAAAGGCGGTGATAATACTCGGTGGACAGCTGAGTAAACAATCCTGAACAAGCCGTGAAAATATTTCAGGACAGCTGCAGCTTTCTGCTCTTATCACACAGGCCACAAGCATTTGTCCTGTGATGGTCGTAATGCAGATATTCTTTTCCATGAGAGCAAAGAGTTACTGACAGGAAACAGACTGACCTCAGCTCACACAGACGTTTGTGTCATATTTAAAAATCTTCTTTGATAGCAAAGTGGAACCGAAATGAAATCCCTTAAATAATAATAATCCATAAGAAGGTTTTCATTGCCAAAACTGCAATGTCGTATTATAGAGGAATACTTTTCCCCCAAAAGACTCCAAAATTTTGAGATTAATTTCAGAAATTTTCTTTAAAAAAAAAA